GAGACACCAGCATTGCAGAGTTTTGTGATGGAGACAGACCAATCGTGGAGTGTAGAGACCTGTGTAGGCCTTTCCGTAGCCACGATGGAGGTGCAGCCTCCAAGCCTCCACTGTTATATTCGTAAAATGCAGATGAACAGTATCACCTGCTTTGGGGACCAGCGGAGACCATGCTCGGCTCACGGTCTGACACCTGTGCTCAGTACCTGTTCGCTGTCTGTTACTATGTGGAGGGAGCAGTGGCAGCCAGTCTCTAAGAAGACCCTGTGGTCTCCTACTGAGGCAGACTTATAGCACCAACCCTTTCTCCTGCTGGGTCTCCACAGCAACTGCCAGTCAGCTCACACACCATCGCTCCCGGGCCTGGCATCAGCACAGACTTGCCCGGACTTGCCAGTGGGTCTGTGTGTTCTCGGCCATGAGCTACCATGCCTGGCTGTTGTTGCTTCAGACACTGACTCAGAAAAGCAGTTGCTGGTCCTCAGGGATGGTGCCATTCTACGGACTGCCTGACGCCATGGAAGGCAAGTCCCAGAGGCTCAGAGCTGAGGAGGGTGCAGGAGTCACCCAGGGAACGTCTTGTAAAATATACTCAGTTCCCACCATTGGTACCAGTGGGAATATACCCAGTCCCCACCGCCTGTTCCAATCCTCTACAGCAGAAAGGCAGGGCCAGGAACCCATATACACAGAAAAATTAACAAAGCCCCCAGCCAATTCCAAAGGCCCAGCAGACAGGAAAGAACCGCTCTAGATTGACAGCCCTCGTCCTTCTTTCCGTCTACTGGGGATCAAGCCCAGCCCTCCACTGCTGTTTCTAGTGAGGAGGCGTGAGCCAGAGAAGATGAGCATCCTGGGAGTCAGACCAGGCCGCGGGGCAGGGGCCCTGCTGACACACGGGAACCAGCCCAAAGGGCTTCAGTCACCGCTCTTCCCACGCCCCCAGCAGCAGCAGCAGCAGCAGCACAGGGGCCCTGGGCTACGGGCATGGGAAGCCAGTGCTGACAGCCCGAAAGAAAAGCATAGTATGGCCCGACGCTGTTTCAGAAACAAGCAATTCCCTCTCCCAAAGTCAATCCTGACTGGCTAGCGCCAGAATGCCCAGGGGGTGCTACTTGGGGAGCTGAAGCTATGAGGTGTCTACCACCTCAAGTTATTCCTGACTGTCTACTGAGCCAGGTAACCACCATCTTGGGGAATTCAGCGGTGCCCCCTTGCAAAAGCGATTATCCCAGCTGGGTTTGTTGACCGTGCACCCCCTCACAGAGGTATAGGGAGGTCGTAGGACCCTCGCCTGGGCATCTGCTGGCTCCCTACCACAAGCTGTATGCAGTTCTGCCACAGCAGCACATGGCTGCAGGGAGGGGCTAAGATAGCTGGGCTCCATCTATGTGACTTCAGGAGAGGCATCATTCCTGCCAGGTGAAGACTTTTTGGTGGGGCACCCATACCCCAATAGGTAACCCCTGACCTGTACTCAATAAGGAAGCCCATGAACTCATGGGTTCCCCAGGGTGACCTCTAGTGGAACTGTGCCTGGGTTGTCGCTGGGACCTTAGGAGAAGGGTGGGTGCCGTTTGTTTCCCCAGGAAGGAATTTTAGCAACGCTTCATTAGTATTGACTGTAATAAACGTAAGTTCCTTTGGCCTTTTAAATAATTTCCAGCAGTGCTGGAGATTAAACCCAGGGACACGCATATGCTAAGTGTACACTCCGCTGTTGGGCTGCCCCAGCCCTTATACTCAGCAGCAACCACAGACTAAAGGCAGAAACTGAAGGCTTCTCGTCACAGCCCCTTCCCCAGATCTAAGCAATGCTGATGGCTGATGCCTCTTCTCCAGACCCTCCTACACATGTACACCAGCTTACACTAGCACGTGTGCCATTTCACAACTGTGACACTTACACCTTTTGTTCTCTTTTATCTTGTTTTCTTTGATGTGGTCTTGTGTAGCCCAGACTGGCCTTGAATTTACCATACAGCAGAAGCTGTTCTGGAATTTCTGACCCTCTGGCCTCTACCTCCTGGGTACTGGGAATACACTAGTTAATATTGGCAGGATTTAGAGTCACCTAGAAAGCACACCTCTGGGCACGTGGATGAAGGTGTTTCTACAGAGGTTTAAAGAAATGGAACTGTACCCAGCATCCATCCACTCATCTCTCTGCTTCCTGACTGCAGAGGCAATGTGGCCGGCCGCTTCACACTCCTGCCACGAGCAGGATGGAGAGCCCAAATACACCCTTCCTTAAGTGGCTTCGTCATAGCAACGAGAAGGGCAATGGACACCACAGCGTGAGGTGTTCATTCTGCATGGGTCTGAACGATGTACCCCCAACAGCCAGAGGTGTAGGGACAAGTTTTCACAAGTTTAGGATGACCAGCTGAGCATAGGGGCGCACGTCTTTAACCCCAGCACTTGAGAGGCGGACATAGGCGGATCTCTGTGCATTTCAGGAAAGCCTGGTCCACAGAGTAAGACTGCCACAAACAAACAAAAACAAATCAAATACTAAATGAGTAAAACCAATTTTTTGAGGTCAGAGGTCAGAAGAGAAACCTCTTGAAACGGCTGTCCTCTGGATCCCTTAAAGACAGCCTGAAGTAACTACCCCGTCACCAGCTCCCCACTTTCTTCAGGGGCCAGGCTCTTACCACACCTGGCTCCCCTTTGTACTAACCAAGAAAGCTTGTGTCCAGCGGTTGAAGCTCGGCTACATTCCAGACCTGTTTAATACCAATGTTTGGTAAACTGAGGCTCACTTTCCCATTACTCTGTGGTCGAAGCAGTAGAAACGTTCTCAAGTTCAAGGCCACCGCCAGGGCCACCTACAGGACGAAGGGCAGAAGCAGTAAGCCAAGGGTGAACTGCTAATGGCCTGACATCCAGACATCCATGTTTCAGAGATGTAGGCGGGAGGGTCCCTGGGGTTCACTGGCCGTCTAGCCTCACCATTCCAGAAGGCTCTAAAACAATGAGAAAGAAGCACTTCCTCAAAACCTGGGGCAAACAGTGCCTCCTGAAGAACAATACCGAAGTTCATCTCCTAGCTTACACACAGCACACATGTGTGCGAGCACACACACACATGCATATGCACAAACAAAACCATAAAGTGACAGTTCCAGGGAACGGAAAAAATACAAGTTTTGAGCTCAGATCCACTCGGGCTCACACCCAGCCTTGTGAAGGTATAATGTGCTTGGTCATGTCACCAATTCTCTCCCAAGCCTCAGTTTCCCTCCCCACAAGACAGAATACTACGAAGTTGCACCCCTGGGCTAGCTCCGAGGATTAAATGAGATAATGCATGTGTTCGACACCTCTACCAGACCCTGTCTCCAATTCCCCAACACTGGGACATCCCAGAGTCCACTCCTCTGAGCTCTTTTTCCTAACACAAACTTCCTTGGTGATTCCACTCAACTTGTGAGGGTTTACACGCCATCTTTCTGCTATCGTACTGGGTGGCCAGAAGTCCTTTAGCAATTTAAGGTTTGTTTGGCTGGAGAGATTCATCCAGTCCACCCCTCAGGCCTTTCTTTTACCTTCTTCAAATTCAGAGTCAGAGAGAAGTAATACTCAATTCTTCAGGGCTCTGGGGACTTTTTACCTTGCCATGGACCACAGCATGTTCTCCATGGAGAATGACTTTCCCGGGAGCAGATACCAGCAGGACTTCTGACAACATGGCTCCTGAGACTCCTGAGAGGGAATAGGAGAGATGGGAACAAGGGTGCCTAGATGTTAATTAGTCATATCAGAAAGGTTGGGCTTTGTGACACATGTCTTTAATCCCAGCGTTTGGGAGGCAGAAGGAGGGATCTCTGGGTTCAAAGCCAGCCTGGTCTACAGAGTGAGCTCTACGACAGCCAGAACCATGTAGAGAAACTCTCAAATAGAAAAGGAGAGAGAGAGAGAGAGAGAGAGAGAGAGAGAGAGAGAGAGAGAGAGAGAGAGAGAAACGCACAAAAAGAGAGAGAGAGAGAGAGAGAGAGAGAGAGAGAGAGAGAGAGAGAGAGAGAGAGAGAGAGCCATGAATCTGTTTCCCACATGTCAGATAGGGCAACACCAGAGACTGAAACCAAAGGACTGGGAAGCAGCAGTGTCTGTCTGCCAAATAGCTCCTTGACTAGACAGCTACTCAGCACTGGCCGGTTCTCGGCTCCGGCGTTTATTTCTATCACCATTGAAGGTAGAAACTGACATGGCCTCCGAGTGCACCGCTCACTAGTGAAGGGCTTGCCTACTATGAGGAAGGCCATGCGTTTGATGGTGTGGTAAAGGCAGGTTTACATAAAATCTTAAAAAGGGAAAGAATTATTCCCAGACATCGAGACCACAGCCAACTGTCAGAATAAATAAGGCAGCAGGACATACCTGTTACGCCCGGTGTTGCGCATTTAAACAAGAACTTCTGCAAGGCAGAGTCTAATGAGTGTTTTTTCTGGATTTACGGGTGCATGCATTTTTGCATTGTTATAACTAAGGTAAAATCACCAGCGTTTAAGACTTTACCGGAACTGCCTCACACAAACCACCCCACTAGCAGACACTGAGGCCCCCGTTTCTTAGGGAACTGTCCGATCTGATACCGCCGACCGCTCCGACCAAGGAAACTAAGGCAGAGGAATGGGGCGCCTGGCCTGGGGTGTCCGGGGTCCCGGTCCTCGCCGCCCGCCCCGCAGCCCAGGCCTCTCACCTGCCGCGGCCAGCGTCCAGGTGTGCCGAATCCGCAGCCGCAGCTCCCGGTCTTCTCCATCCCGGAGCGCCCAGCCCCACGGAGGCGGGCGCGTCTTCCCTCGAGCCAATCAGAGAGCTCGAACCGAGGATCCCTTTACGGATTGGGTCGAATATTGACCAATGGTAATTTCAAACAGTCGGGGTTTCCCCGCCTTACTCTTTTCGTAATCCAATGGGAAACAAGGCACGGGGAGTGCCCCGCCCTGGTGCGAGTGCCGCAGACCAATAGGGGACGGCGATTGAGAGGTGGCGCGGCCAGCTGCGGGGAGGAGTCACCCCCGAGCGTGGACGGAGGCCTCGCGGGGTCAGCCCTGGACTCGTCCCACGCATGGCTGTGTGGGTATTTGGGGGCCGCCTTGGCCTGCGCGGGCATCTCGGCGCCTGCAGGCTGCTGTGTCCCCGTTTTCAGAGCCGCAGCTCTCAGGGCGAGGAAGACGGGAACAGGTGAGTGTCAACTCCAACACTTGCGGGGGTGGGGATAGGTGTATTGGCTCCGTGGGTACGTCACACTGGTGACGTCACCGGGGCAGCATGGCGTCAGAGACCAGAATATCTTGGCACAAGTTCTAATGCAGTCCAGCTATGGCCAGTCAGGGCAGGGAATGTCGGTGCGGGCCATCAGGGCCCTCTATTCGGATTTTACCCAGTGTCCAAAGCGGTTTAGTTTTGGACAAATTGGAATTAGTATTAGGACTCCAGGCATCTTCTAAGAAAGACATAGTAGCACTTTGAAACTTGTACCGTAGACTTCCAGGACCTTAGAACCTGCAGACTACCATGAGTGTTTCCTGCCCAGTTCTCTGACTTTGGAATAACCTTGTAAGGCAACATTTTAATTGTAAACTACATATTTAAGTTATGCGCTGCGATTTAAAAATGGCAGTGTCTTGAGGGAGAGCAAGGACTGGGGATGTGGCCCAGTGAGAGAACGTTTGTCTATCATGTCCAAAGCCTGGGCTCCAATTGCAGGCATCAAAAATAAACAAATTTAAAAAGTGAAAATACAATTTTTTTTTCAAATTCCATTTTGCCAGTGTTTTTATTTATTTATTTTGTGTGTGTGTGTGTGTGTGTGTGTGTGTGTGTGACACTTGAACCCTTTGAAAATGCAAGTGGCTCAGTTTTCTTTCCCCATGAAGCCGTAACTTTGTGATAGAGAAGTGGAGTTAGGGTAGACTAGGGGCAAGAGTTTGGGGAGGGTAGTGACCCGAGTCACGCTTAGAGTGGAACAGTCCTGGGCATAAATCCCAGCCCCGCCTCTTCCTGGAGACCCAGGGAGGTGAATCTCTCTGGGCTACCATTTCTACAGAGAAGTTAATGGCTAACTTTGGGGGTGTGGGAGAAGCTGAAGGGTAATTCCAGGAGGTAGTAGCTTTAGTTCACTGTGGATCTAGGGCCATGTGGAGTGGTGGGTTAGCTCCTCCAGCAAATATTTGTCAGTCACTTCATTGGACAGTGCACTACAGCAGTTACTGTGGCTGGGGTATTATCTAGAAGGGATGGCAAGGAGAACGGTTGACAGAAGATTGCCATCAAGAAGAGGGCTGAATGCTGTCGCGGAGGTTGCAGCCAGCAAGCTGAGTGAGGTGCTCTCTGCACGCCACCCCCCTTACCATGTTTTGATGTCTCTTTCTCATTAGGGTGCAGTCATCCTCGAAGACACCCAAGATCCCCAAGATTTATACCAAAACAGGAGACAAAGGTAGGGTGGCGATGGGTGATAAATGCGGCAAGACACACAGCAGGCATCACTTTAAAGTTCTCTCCTCGTGGTAGCCGTGTGACATGAAGTGACGTGAAAAATGCACAAACTATTATGAAGTGTTTAAACTGTTATCAAGTTGTAAAGAAGCTGGGAATAGTGCACGCTTGTAATGCCAACACTCGGGAGGCTGAGATAGGAGAGTCATGAGTTCAAGATCAGCTAGGGTGACATGTCAGTCTCCAGGCCAGCTTAGGAGACATAACTAAACCCTGTCTTGAACTAAAGGGAAGGCAAGTTGTGGGACTGGAAGTGTAGCTCAGTGGTAGAGTGCTTGTTTAGTATCCTGGAGGCCCTAGGTTCAACCACAGAACTGCAAAGAAAGAAAGAGAGAGAGAGCCAAATGAGAAAAAAAAAAAAAAAACCAGTGTGGCCCAATCAGGGATCGAGTGCTGGCTAGTATCCTGGAGGCCCTAGGTTCAACTCCAGAACTGAAAGAAAAAAAAAGATAAATAAGCAAAACCAGTGTGGCACAATCTAAGAACTCTGAGTCATGGGGTAGGAGGGATGGTTCAGTGGTTAAGAGCCTGTACTGCTCTTCCAGAGGGCCCAGGTGTGGGTCCCAGCACCCACATTGGGTGGCTCACACTTTCCTATAATCTTAACTCTAGAGGGATCCATTGCCTCTGACCTCTGGGCACCATCCCCACCCCCACACAATTAAAACAAATTAAAAACTTTAAAAATATCTTTTAGTTCACTTGCATTAAAAGTTTAACTATAGGTATTGTGGTATAAACAATGTAATCTTGGGACGCTGGATGCAGAGGCAGGAGGATCACTGTAAGCTCAAGGTCAGCCTGGGCTACAGAGTGAGACTGTGTCTCTAAAGAGAAGAAGAAGAAATTGTGTGTGTATTGTGGGTGTGTGTTTGTATACCTGGCTACATAGCAAGTTCTAGGCCAGCCAGGGCTACACAGTGAGACCTTGTCTCTAAAGAAATGGAAAAAAAAAAAAAAGCTTGTGGAAGGGGACTCAGATATGTCTGAGAGGTTATCTCTTTATAATTTATTTTTTGGGTGTGTCTGTGTACCTGTGCCACAGTGCACTTGAGGTCAGAAAACAACTTTCAGGTGTTGGTTCTTTCCTCCCACCCTGTAGTTCCTGGGCATAAACTCGGGTCATCAGGCTTGGCAGCAGGCCCTTTACCAGCCGAGCTGTCTCGCTAGTCCTGAAAGAGCTAATCTTTGACTGGTAGCCAGGAGAGAGGTTGAACTGTGGGAGAGAGAAATACACAAACTTCACATACTTTTCTTCTATTTTTTTTTCAAAACAAACATTTCATTGCTTCAATTTTTTTGTTTGTTTTGTTTTTTGACACAGGGTTTCTCTGTGTAGCCCTTGGCTGTCCTGGAACTCACTCTGTAGACCAGGCTGGCCTCAGACTTACAGAGATCCTCCTGCCTCTGCCTTCCAAGTGCTGGGATTGAAGGTGTGTGCCACCACCGCCGGGCGCTTCAATATTTTAGTCAATGCCAGGTGTAGCGTAACAGGGAAACAGACTGCTGTGGCACCATTTTCTGAAACTTAAGACCATGCAGACTAACATGTAAACTTGTTAACAGCCACTGTGCTTGGGGCATGTCCTTCATGCCGAAGTATGCCAGTGCGTAAGGTGTGCTTCCAGCCTCTGAGCTGCAGGGAAGCAAGAAGTCGGAATGTAAGAGTCACGAGTATGTTACTGTAACAACAGAAAAGAAACCGTGCGTAGCAGTGACAGATGTCAGTTGGTGGTGTCAGTGCTTTCCACCAGAAAGGTCCGGGGACGGCCTCCAGTCAGTCACAGACAGGGCACTTGGCTCACTAAGGCCCAGCCGTGGAGTCTTGCAGTAGCGCTGGACAGGACTTCCCATAAGGTGAAGAGTGTGCTGACACAGGGCTGGGGCCAGAGAAGTGGAGCTTTGCTCTGCTTCGTTCTGGATCTGAAGTGGTCAGGAAGCAGCTTGGAAGGTGGGAGAGGCAGGGAGATGGTGGGCTGTGACAGACAGATGAAGCCGTCACTATCCTTAGCCCAGAGAGCTCTGTGACTTCAGTTCTGGCACGGTTCCTTTGATTTGCGGAGAGTGGTTTGTCACAGCTATGGTGTGACTATCTGTGGTGCTTGGTGGAGTCATTTGTGCGTGACGACAATGCAGTGGGTAGAGTGGCTAGCCAACACCAAAGCCACGCTTCTGGTACTAGGCCGGAGCTGTGACCTACGCTGAGGTCCAGACTGAATGACAGAGAGACAGCAAGATACCACAGGTGCTTTACTTCTTAAGCAGGAGGCTTCATTTGTGGCTCCTAGTCTAAATTAAAAGCATGCCAGGGAAGTAGAGGGGACACCTTTGGTGGTAGTGATCAAAAGGACACTTAATGCACATGGTCCGTAGACATACATGCAGATAAAACACCCATACACGCGACATAAAATAAATTTTAAGTGTATCAGGGGAAAAATCTGTTTTTGATAAGATTCATTTGTTATTTTTATTTGATGTATACGAGTGTTTGTCTACATGTATGTCTATGTACCATGTGCATGTCTGCTGCCTGAGAAGTTCAGAAGACAGCATCAGATCCTGGAACTAGAATTACAGGTGGTTGTAAGCCACCACATGAGCGCTGGGACCTGAATCTGAGTCCTTGGCAAGAACAGCAAGTGCTCTTAACCACTGAACCATCCCTCCAACTCCTGCCCCTCCCTTCAGACAGCCCCCAATTCTTAATGTGCTAAATATCTTTCCCCAGGGTTTTCCAGCACCTTCACAGGAGAGCGGAGACCTAAAGATGACCAAGTATTTGAGGCTTTGGGAACTACAGATGAACTAAGTTCAGCTATTGGGTAAGGGGGGCAAGGATGGGCCTTGATGTGAAGTTAACCTGTGGCATTGGTGACTGTCATCATTGTGACATTCTCCCGGGTCCTGGAGGGTCTGGAAGGTTACCTGGATGAATCTGTATGAGCTGTTAGCACAGGCTGGTCAGTTCCATGGGTCTGTAGGGTATAGGTCTGTCCCTCTGTCAACACAGGGCGGTCCCTTCTTCTCACCATCCCTGGTTCTGTCACTTGGAGCACACATGTGCCATCAGGAGACAGGCTGTGTGGGAAAGAGGTGAGGTCAGGTGATCGTCAGTGCATCAGAGATGGCCCCCCTGTGAATGGATTTTAAAGTGAGCCAGGGGTTAGAAGCCTTGCTCAATGATTCCCGTCCTCCGCTCCCAATCCCGACTGCTTATCACACTGAAGGATTATTCCCCACCCTCACTTCAGCCATTGCACGCTGGCTGCACCGCTGCCAAATATGGCCTCTGTGGAACCCTGATGATGAGACACCTGTCTGGGGCGGTACGGGTCCTGGTGGGTGAGGCTCGTGCCGGCTCCTGATACTTCCTGTGTGACCTCCTTCCCATTGCCCTGGTCAGAACCAGTCACGTCCTGGTACTGTGGGAAAGGCCAAATGCACGTGGATGACCACATGGTGGGCGTGCTGGCCACACTGGGATGTGAACACGGATAGGCCTGAGTGCTGCTCCTTGAGCTCTGCCTGGCCCTGTGGGCACAGACGTGGGGATCAGGAAGATCTGTGTTCAGATTCTGTACCATCCCTTAGTAGCTATGTGACTTCAGGTCAGACCAGACACCCTTGTTCTGAACCTCAGTTTGCTGTTCTGTGAAATGGTCATGGAAGTCCTTTCCCTCTGTTCTTACGAATTAATATGATAAATCTGCATCTCCCTGACTGCTGTTTACACTTACCATTATCATTGCCCCGGGAACTCTCAGGCTCATGGCTGCCAGGTGCCAGGAGTGGAGTGGACAGTGATGACAGATGTGCCCCAGCCAGCATAGCCTTTCCTTGTCATCCAGAGGGAGACAGATGTTAGGAGCGGACCCAGTGCGTGCACTGTTCTGATTGGAAGATGATTGTTTGCTGTTCACCCCACTGCTCCTCTTCCTGCCCTCTGGCCTCTCTGCCTGCGAGGGTGCTCGACCAGAGGACCTGCCAACCCTACGCCCGATGTCCTGGTCTTCGCTTCCACGAGGGCCCAGCGACGGGAGGCAGCAGTGGGCAGAGAGGAAGTGTGCGGAGGACAACCTGGGCGTGTGGACAAACTGTTTACCAGCCGAGTGTGGCTCTGCCGGGCTCTCCTGTGCTCTGGGTCCTGCTGCTCACCCTGAGTTCGGAATGCACCGCGTCCCTTCCTTGCTTCTCCAGGCTTCTGTGCTTTCCACTCTTCACCGTCAGTCATCGGTTCCTGTATCTCTGCCTGCATCTTTGAGGATTGTCCCTTTGAGAGTCTCTCTGCCAGGAATCCTTCCCGTGTGCCATCATCTGTCCCCTGCCAGGCCTTGTGGGGTGCAAGAGGGGAGCGGCGTCTTTGACCTATGTCTGGGAAGTTGTCTCTTCGTCCGTCCTACTTCACCACGGGCTCCTGTTCATCTTCAGAGTCCCACCTTCCTCTTCATCCCTCGTCAAGGTTCTTAACCGCGGCACAGTGGTGCACGGCACACGTCTTTATCCCCTTCCTACCGGACAGGCCCCAGGTCCCCTGCTCCCTACGGTATCAACAGCACCGGCCTGGGCAAGGGCAGAGAGGGACAGCTGACTGTGAGAAAGAACACAATAAAAGCACTCTAGGAAGCAAATGCCCCTGTCTACCTGGTGTTCTCTTTGTCAACAAGAAAGACTGCCATGGTCACTGTAGGTCACGGTATCTTACGGCCCCACAGCATTCTGTTACGGGCTAATTTTTCCTTGTCCTTTTAGGTTTGCCATGGAGGTGATCACAGAAAAAGGCCACACGTTTGCCGAAGAACTTGAGAAAGTAAGTTACATCATTTTAGCCTACATTGTGGCTTTTTGTCCCCATGACTTGGGTGTCGCTGGCTTCCTCCTCTGCCCGTTGCTTCTTTGCGCCACCAGTGGCTAGTTACTTCGGAGAACTGCTCTGTCCTCATTTCTGAAGTAAGGACACGTAATCCTCCGTGAGGTGAGGGTGCTGTGTAAAGGGCGGCTCTGCTCTCCAGAGGTGCGTGTCACATCTGGCAGTGGGAAAGCTGCTGGTGTCAGTACCCCACATTGCACAGGACAGCGTCTTGGCAAAGAAAACTAATGCCAGTGGCCACAGCCCAGGCTGAAGAACAGCATGCTTGGGAGCTCAGCTGTAAGTCTCAGCCAGGCGGAGAGTGCTTGGTAGTGTTGCAGTTGAGTTCCAACAGACCCGCCAGCCAGGGCACCAGCCGCATCTCTCTAGACCCTTGCTGCTATCTCCCAGGCATCACTGTATTCTGCCTGGGGACTCAGGAGCACAGGAGTCCTTCCTGAGTCCTCCTGTCCTGCTGGCCACTGCCTTCCACATCCTGTCCTTCACAGTTGGTCACTTTGTTCATTGAATTACAACTCCAGAATGTCAGCATAGAGAAAGAAGGCGGGTACGTGGGAGCCAGAGATCAGACCAAGAAGGTGTCTCTTGGGTAGCACTTAGCAGAACTTTACTCCCTCAAATTCCCCTCAGGAGGCCTCATGGTACTTAGTTTGGACAGTTTGCCTTTGGATGTGAAGTCAGAAGTTCTGTTAGCTCCTCACTGCCCAGTGTGCACACTCTGCTGGCACGTCCCTCTCATAGGCTCTGCTGGTACACTCTGTGGCACACGGCGCTGGCACGCTCTGTGTGGCTCCTCTGCACATGCAATAGTGCGGTACGGTTGCACAATTTCCACCCAGCCTGCTACTGATGACCTTTTTTCTCTCCTCCTGTTCTCCAGATCCAGTGCACGTTGCAGGATGTTGGCTCTGCCCTGGCTACTCCACGATCCTCAGCCAGGGAGGCTCACTTAAGTAATTCCCAGCCCTGCTCAGGGAATTCTTGGGGTCCTGGGGTGGGGACCGCCCCTTAGTGTAGGTTCCCGGGCTCTCTGGCAGGGCAGACAACTTGTTCTCTGCCTTGGGAAAGACGTTAGCTTCAAAGCTGATAGGAACCCTTGGCAGGATACCGTGCAGAAGGGAAGGGGTGTTTCCTGAATGTACATGCTTACAGGAGGCCTTTCTGCCCCTGACTCCTCAGAACACACGGCCTTCAAGGAAGGGCCTATCATGGAGCTGGAACAGTGGATTGACAAGTACTCCAGCCAGCTTCCCCCACTCACGGCTTTCATTCTGCCTGTAGGTATTGGGGGGGCTCAACCTGGGGTGGCCAGGGTGGGTGTAGTAACAGAAACACGTGGGCTTGCCATTAGTTCCAACTTTGACTTTTACTACAACAAAGCCACCCCCAGCACCCCACTCCTTTTCCTGTCCACTTGAGAGCCACCCCAGAGGTGTGTCTGGTAGGGCTCTGGGAGGCAGAAGACTGTCCAGTGTGGAGCAATGCTGGCCAATGCTCACTTTCTCTTTTAGTCTGGAGGCAAGAGCAGCTCAGCCCTGCACTTCTGCCGGGCCGTGTGCCGACGAGCTGAGCGACGGTAAGGGTCCCAGAGGCCAATGCAGGAGCCTCATACCTGTGCCATCTGACCCTTCCCTAGGTGACTTCATCATGTCATTTCCTGAGTCCCATGTCACAGAGGGGACTGTGATAGGTGACTGCATACTGCTCAAAGGCAAGCAGAGTTTTCCCTCCTCCTGAGGTTCACAAGAAGCCAGTGACATATTCCAGGCTGGGGGGTGGGGGCGCAGGGAGAATAACATGAAAGGACCCTTCTGGAATTAGACAGAAAGAACCGTAGGGGCCCTGTGGTTAGGGAGGACCTAGGTAGAAGCTGTTCATAGTCTAGCCACCTCCTGCCTTGCCTCATCTCCAAACTCAGAGTGTTCATGGTCTCAAGAGGTTCCTCACAGTGCTCCCCTCCCCAGGAGTCAGGCAGCTAAGTTAGCAGGACCTCCCAACAGGTTCTGTGGCCACCCTTCCACAGTCTCCCATATCACAAGAGTTTTGTCCTTCATAAAAGGCTCATAGACCTAGACATTCCCAGATGCATCTTGGGTAACAGAAAAAGGTTGGGCCTCAAGAGAAAAATAGTGCTTTGTACAAAGTCACCCGTATCACCGGGGCTTACAGTAGCGAGCAGAGGGAGTGGCCTATAGGCCCAGTTCGAGACTGAGCTGGTGTTGCATCCTCTGTGTGGCAGACAGGCCCCAGCCACAGCAGGGACCTGCCAGTGACCCACCAGGATGCTCTCAGGGCAGATGGTTACCTAGGTGAAGCAACCATGCTGAGTGGGAGGTGCCTCCAGGCCTGCCAAGACATAAGACTTCTGGGGTACTGGCCAAGTACATCATCTTGGATAGGGCCAAAACACCCCAGGCTGGCTGGGAGAGTACCAACAGGGATCAGGCAGTGTGTGTATGTGTGGAGGAGTCGGGTGGGATGTTATCATGTCTTGGTATCCAGGAGGCACACTGTCCCAAGTGTATGCACACATTTAGAATTACTAGTTAGAACGGTAGCTTTTTGGGGATTAAGGCCCAGATAAACCTTCTTTTGAAGACTAGAGGCTGGCAGCTCTGCCCACGTAGGAGCCTAGACCATGCTTGTTGGCACAAAGGCCAGCAGACTGGACTATTGGCCAGCCTACTCTCAACTTACCTGCTGTGCCACCTCCTTCACTGGCCAGGCCACATCATGTATGTCCAAGGGAAGGGGTCAGCTGGAGGTAATGGTGGAGTTTCATATCTGCTTCACAGTTGTCAGGGTTAGTTTAAGTGGTGAGGTCAAGGGGTGCTCCAGGTCCTGGCTCCAGTGTGTTGAGCCTGGCCGTGGAACCCGTCTGTGTCTGTGCCCCAGCTCCTGTGTGCTGAGCCTGGCCGTGGAACCTGACTGCGTCCGTGTGTTCTCTTTACAGTGTAGTGCCTCTTGTCCAAATGGGAGAAACGGATGCAAATGTGGCGAAGTTCTTAAACAGGTGCTGAAGTGGAGTATGGTGGGTCTCTGAACCTCCAGGCATGCTGTGAACCCTAAGAGCATCCACAGCTAAGGCCAACACCTCTCCCTCTTTCCCTCCCTTGCTCCCTCTTCTCTCCTCCTCCCACCCCCAGCATGTATGTTTGTGAGTGTGCTGTCTGCAGGCCAGCCCTGTCCCACTCTGTGAGGTAAGGCTCTGGTTAGGAAGTGCCAGGAAGAGCCAGCAGAGGCACACCTAAATTAAAGGGGCAGGCTGCTCTTTGGGTCTCTTCATGGAGACTGATGCCCAGGGCCTTGATGGTAACCGACAGGAAGCCTGTCCCACCAGCATCTCTACCTGAATACCCTAGGTGGTACACAACCGTGCTGAGCTTAGGCCCTAGTGCTGTGAGCCAGGAAATCCAGCAGTGCCCTGCCCTGTGGTCAGCCTCTGCACCGCAGCTGTACCTCGGGCTCAGACATGGGCCAGCGGAGGACTTGAGGAAGGTGGGGGCTGCATCCAGGAGCTGCCTAGTCATGCAGACAGTGACCTCATAATGCCTGGCGGTGGGATGTCCCCTATTATCCCCACTTCCCCCAGATGTAGACTTCTTGGATCCTCACAGGTTCCCTGCCTCCTGGGTGGGATGTCACCCAGACTGAGTGAGAGACAGCTCCTTTTTAACTCAGAAGACCCGCTGGACGTCCAGTGTTCTGTGGGTCAGGGCAGGTCATCCCTTCCCTGCAGGTTCCCAGGAGTTACCAAGAAAGCAGCATATCCTTGCCCTAGGAACACAAAGTTCAAAAGGGCAGTGTAGAGTCCCGTGGTCCTGCTAGCCAGCAGTGGGCCCCAGGAGTTAGCAGTAGTGCACCAGATGGGAGGGAAGGAGAGGAGGGGAGCAGCAGGCATGGAGGGGAGAGTGGCAAAAGCTAGCTGTTAGCCTCCAGGAGCTGAGGCAGAGCCCTGTAAGTACCTCGAGGTGTAGCATCACCTGGTAGTCTCTGTCCCTTTCCCGTAGAAGGCCTCTTGTCCTGAGCCCATCACTGCTGGGTCTGCGGAAGAGGTAGGGATCTAGACGTTGATGATGAGACTCCTCCAGGCCGCTGATTCTCAAGTGGGGGCATTAGCAGTGTCTAGAGATAGTCTGGGTGGTTGTGTCTAGTTCTGGTGCCACTGGCCACTCTGCATGCACAGGAGAGTCCTAGCCATAAAGAATAAGACTCACCTAAGGCCTCTTTATGCAAAATGCGACTCCTGATCCTGGGATTGGGGCTGACCTGCAGACTCCTGGTCTGTGAAGCTCCCCTGAATCCCAGATGTCACATCCCTGTCACAGAAAATGGAGAAGCAGCTCAAGTAGCCCAGCGTTCCTAGGCTCCTTGCAACTCCAGGAGTGCTCCAGCCCCACCATCCATCATACCACAGGGTGCTCCCGGGGGTACGAGACTCACCTGTCCTGCTTGAAGACCAGCTAGGCATGAGCCAGCCGGTGTCAGTCTCTCACACCCGTCCTTGTTGCTTCTTTCTGCCCCTCCAGACTCAGCGATTACCTCTTCACTGTAGCCAGATACGCAGCCATGAAGGAGGGCAGCCAAGAGAAAATATACAAGAAACGTGATGTGTGAGGCATGTGGAAATGGTGAGAGCCTCGGAGGCCCGTCTGGAGAGACTGTGGTGTTAACAGAATGGAAGTGGGGCTGAGGTAGACTTGGGGTCGCCTCACACCCCCTCTCAGACTCCTGCTGGCTTCCCCGGGCTGTGCTCGAACACATGGGACTGAGCTCCATACTGCTGGAAGGAAAGGAACACTGAAGGCTACGAAGAGAAGGGGTCACTCAGCTTTGGGACTGAACATGGGGAAGGTTTGAATCTCACACTTGGGGGGAGTGTATATAAGAGAGAAAGAGACGTTGCTGCCAACTCGGGCTTCTCAAGAATTTGGAATGTACCAGAGGCCCCTGGAAATTACCAGTGCCAACACTGGGCTGGTGACTGCTCCTGTGAGCCACACCACACTGTGTTCTATTCCACTTGTCACCGCTCCTCACTATGGAATGACATTGCCAGTGGCGCTGTGCCCTTGAGAAGAGGGATATTTATGAAAGGCTGAAGGCAGCCCTGAGAGCTTACGGATTCCACTCCTGCTGGTAGGTAGTGACTGCGGAAGCACCGGTCAGGGATGCTGGATCAGCTCAGCGATCTCCACTATGCACCTGCTTGGCTTCCATGCTAGGTGTGGGTGGACTGGCCTCTAGCTGCCTTCCTTGTTGGTCAGTCAGCAAGCATTTGACTTCAGCCAAGTGCCCTCCCTCCCACCTTCCTGCTGCTGTTTCAGGCTGGCAGCTACACATATATCTATCTTCTGGGGTCTTTAAAGGGTAGATGCCTGGGTAGGAGGAGTACCTCCCCGGGAGGCAGTCCCATCCAGTGCCAGTGCAGCCACCATAGTGAGGCACAGATGAGATATGGAGTTGGTGCTGTGTGTGCTAATGGTGCTTGAATGTCATGTTCCGGGCCTGGGGGACGTCGTGTTCCAAGAGCTTGTAGCAGCAGCCCTGTACTCTGCCTACAGCCACCGCTCCTCCTAAAAAGACAATCTGAACTCAAGGAAATAGCAGCCTAGACCCCTAGCCTATGCCTTCAGCATTCTTGGGTAGCTCTCACGGTAGATCTCAGCGTTCAGGCTCCAGGCATTGCCTAGCCTTTTGCAACCGCCCCCAGTCCTCGTGGGGAATTCCCACTGTGCGCTGGCACAGCTGCCAAACTGTTGCTGTAAGTTGTACCCATTTATCACCGACCTCTCTCCACCTGCATACCTCATTCCTCGAAAAGACTGCAGGAAGGCTCCCTATCTTTTAAAAAAAAATTGTCAATAGCCGTTTCATTGAGATACAATGCCACCTACCAGAAATTTCTTTCTAAAATGGACAGTCCATTGGGTTTTATGATACTGCCCAGTTTTTTGCCACCTCATAGTTCACACCCGTGAAGATGGCTCTAATTTGGGACAGTATTCACCTTCGTTAGCAGAGGTGCCCTCCTCCCTCCGCAGTGGTGCCTGCTAGTGCTACAGAGGGGCCCCAGGCTCCTGCTAACACTGGACCCCCCACATTTCTGCAGGAAGGGAAACTGAGGCTCAGAACTGGCCTAGGGGTCTCATGGCCCCCCTCCCCCACCAGCGCTCAGCAGTCGTTTAATCACAGCGGTGTCAGGCACTAAGAGATCTGCCGCCGCGTTGCTCAGCCGAGTTTCCCTAACTGATGCTCCATGGCTATTGTTAGTGTGCCTTTCACTGAGTAATTTCCCGAGCCTGAACTTGTAGCGCATCCCGGTGATAAACGTCCCCAGTTCCGAGTCCCCTGTCGGCTGCAATGTCACCCTTACCTCCTCCCGAGCACCTCCTGACAGCCCATCCAGTTTTATGATCCCTCTGTCCCAGTGATCATGACTGAACCTTTAAGAATCCAGACGCGTTTCAAGTTTAATTGAATAAAATTCTTTGTATAATAAATTCCGCATGAATGCTACATAAATCAATGCCTGGAAGGATTTGTGGCTCATCTCTCTCCCCAGATGGGGTTCGAGGATCCTGCTGGCAGTGCTGTACCCAAGCTGGTCCTGTCTTGATCACCAGAAGGAATAAATTTGCCTTTGGGGTCCTTGTGGAGGGTGTGGCTTCTGCTGTCATGGCCTAGGATTGATCTTGGGGTCCCTCCTGGAAGATGGCACTTTTTCCAGGCAGGGCAGAAGACAAGCACCCCAGGAGTTTGGGGAAGGGTTTCAGAGTCATAAACGTTATAGAATCAGAACTCCCAAAGCCATCTTTGAGTGCCTTGGAATCCTGGAGAAGGTTGTGCACACACTCTCTTTAGAGTGGTGTACACATTCTTTCTAGGTTATCGCCAAGTTTGCGTGCATCCTGAAAGTCCATGTAACCCCAAGGTAAGATTCCCAGGCAAGCTGGGCACTGTGGCACATGCCTGTTGTCCCAACAACAGTGGAAGGCTGAGGCAGATGGACTGTCTGAACACCCTGGGAGTTTAAGACCAGCCTGGGCAACATAGCAAGACCCTGTCTCAAAAAAAAAATAATAATAATTAAAAAAAAAAAATAACAGCATCCTCTTCAAAAGCTAAGTGTGGATCCATGGCATACCTTCCTCCAGCAACCACTTAGGGTTTCACGGAGCCCCCAACCTTGAAGGTGAGAAGCATGCCTGGAGCTAGAGACAGGGGGCCTCCTGGGAGCCTTGGATGTCTGCAGAACCTGGAGGGACAGTGAATGACTGACAGGCACACAGCTCCACGCTGGCCTCCTAGATCCCGAGAACAGGCCTGTCACTTGCTAGCCTCTGAACTCTGGACACTGTGGTCATTTCCTCATCCTTGCCTTCTCACTGGTAAAACGACGGAAGTCTTGGGGCTCTGTGGCCACTGGGAGACCATGCGTACTTAGGAAGTGTTCGCCAGGGCCCTGGCAAATGCTAGCTACTGATACTTGAATTCAAATTCCAGCTTTGTCACCTTGAACAATTCCTTTAGCTACTGTGTAGCCTAGGCTGGCCTGGAACTTCTAGACCAGGCTGGCCTGGAGCTTGTGATCCTCGCACCTGAGGGCCCCTTCTGCTCTAGAGCGCTGGTGGATGAGTAGGGTGTACTGCTGTGCCTGGAACGCTGGATAACAGCAGCTTGCTGAGATTCGAGGCCGACTCCACTGGCCTGGTCGGCGTAGCTGTTATGGCTGAGCAGCTTTGTCCTCTTCAAAGCCATTCTGAGCCCTGGGTGTGGTGCCAGGCTTTGAGATGGGGTTTTGCCTCAGAGCCAGCTGACCTCAAACTTATTATTCCCCTGCCTTGGTTCTCTGAGTGCTGGAATCCCAGCTATGTGTCACCAATCAGGCCACGTACAGAGCTTTGCAAACCCTCACACCCTGGGCTGGGGAGATGGCTCAGCAGGTAAGGCCACTTGCCACGGAACTGATATTCTGAATTTGACACCTGGAGTCTGCATGGTGGAAGGAGAGAACAGGCTCCTACAAGTTGTTCTCTTGATTTCTATGCATACACAGTACATGTGTGCACATAAACACACACACACAAACAAGATAAATGTCAACAAAACCTTCACAGCATAACTAACCCCGAGAGAGCACCTTGCCCACAGCAGCCCCAGCAGGCTGCCAACAGCATCCTTGGATTACAGACTAAGCCGGGGCTCTGGGAAATGGCACCATGGCTGGTACTATGCAGTAAGAGACCACTCTGGGATTTGAGCTCAGCTCTTCCTCTAGCCTGCTTACCTCTGCACGGGGACCACACTATACCTGTCCTGCTGTAGTGGCCGCAGAGCCTGTCATGTTCTCCAGGGTGGCCTTCTTTGGAAGTTAGCTACTAGGGTATGGCTGGAAATTAAGGGAGGCAGACTGCTTCTCTAGGAGAAGAGGAAAGAATCGAAAGCTCCCAGAGGACCCTGGTCGTCCCAGCCAGACATAGCCATTCCAAGGAAAATGAGAAATAGGTGCCAGTTGCAAGTGACACAAAGGCCCCCAGAGAACCAACTCTAGACTTGGGATGCAAGGTGACTTCTCCATCTACCAGTGTCCTAGATGCAGCTCCTCATGGCTGATCTCAGGTCACAGGCCCTCTGGTCCCCCCACCCCACCCCCAGCCATCTGTAATGCCCACATCCTTCCCCAGCTAGTAGGTGCCTTTCTTTATGATCACCTTGGAAGGGTCGAGCAGACATATGTTGCTAAAGGGGCGTTTGTTCTTGTTTATAAAATTTATGGCTTTACCTCAATTATACACTGTCAGATTGGGAAGGATCGGCCCCAAAGCCTCTTGCTGCCTGACTGCTTCAGACGTGCATACATCTGTTAACTCCGTGGGAGCTGTACAGGGAAATCAGGTCTGCTATAATTCAAGCTTGCTGTCCTGCCACGAGGTATGAGCTGCAGGCCTTGGGCAGACACAGCCAGGCATGCATGTGGGCAGGGAGGCAGCTAGCAGCTGCGATGGCCATGCCGCGTGGCCAGGTGCATGGACTGGCCAAGGCTTCTGTCAAGGTGCTTTAAGCTGGGGAGGATGCGAGAGAACTTTCGTTTCCATGGCCTTTGGAGTTCAGCTGCAGTAGCCCAGCAGCTGGAGAGAGTTTTGAGCCTGTGGCTTTCCACCTGGCCGTATCAGTGGGAGAAAAGCATGCATCTCCAGTGTGTGGGAGGGAGTTGAAGGTGGGCATGAGTTTTAGGAGGAGATTTGGCAATATTCATGACAGTGCATGTTCCGGGCCTGCAAGTCTGCCCCCCCTCCCGGCTAACATCTTAGAGGGAGATGTGTCTCAGTGGAGCCCAGAGGGTCTTGCTCAGCAATGTTGCTCATTGCAATGAAAACCTGGACATTCATGTGCAAGACGAGGCAGCTGGGTGACTCGGTGAGTGCACTATTCAACTAAGGGACCATAAGAAATGTCATGACCTCCATAGTAAGTGGGTATAGGGACCTGTTCCAAAATGCTATGCAGTGAACCGTTTGAATCCTGTGAAATCGATATGCGTGTATACACCACAGGAAGGCTGTGTGTTTAATGGTGCTAGACTCTATGTGGGAGTATCATGGGTTAACACTATTTCCTTTTTTGTCTGGATTTTCTAACTGTTCCGCAGTGGATTTACGTTAGATTTAAGGAGGGACAAGGGAGAATGGGAAGAAGTGAAAGCCAGGCCTGAGTGTGAGGCTCAGGTGGTAGAATGCTGTCTCGCATGCACAGAGAGAGCCCTGGGTTTGGTCCCCAGCATGGGATAAGCAGATGGGTGTGGTGCTGTGTGCTAATCCCAGGATTTGGGAGATGGAGGTGGTAGTATCAGGAGTTCAAGGACAAGGCCATCTTGGCTACCTATCAAGTTTGAGGTTAGCATGGGCTACATGAGGCCCCGGCCAATGAAAAATAAATAGAAAGACCAAAAGAAGTGTGTGTGTGTGGGGGGGGGGAGATGAGACTGAAGAGGTGGCTCGGAGGTTAAGAGCACTGGCTGCTCTCTTCCAGAGGACTTGAGTTCAATTCCAGGCAACCACATGGTGATTCAGAACCATCTGTAGTGGAATATGGTGCCCTTGGGACAGCTGGAGTCACATTAGTCCCTGGAGGATGACCACCCCTAGATCCTCCCCACTACTCATGAGTGCCCTCTGATATCATCTTAGAGTTCTACTGCTGTGGAGAGGCACCATGACCATGACAATTCTTAGAAAGGAAAGAGTTAATCAGGGCTGGCTTACAGTTTCAGAGGTTTAGTCCATTGTCATCATAGTGGGGAACATGGCAGCGTGCAGGAAGGCATGGTGCTGGAGAAAGGGCGGAGAGTTCTACATCTGCATCCACAGACCAAGAGAGATTCTGGGCTTGGCATGGGCTTTTGAAACATCACAGCCTACCTCCTCCAACAAGGCCGTGCCTCTTAATCCTTTCAAACAGCGCCACTCCCTGGTGGCCAAGCATTCAAATCTATGAACCTATGGGGGCCATTCTTACTGAAACCATCAAAGGTATCGGCCTAAAGAGGATGTGCATACAGCTGACTGGCTGGAGTCCAGTCTGGGAATGCAGAGTTGGCTTGTACTCTGGAGCAACTGAGGAGGAAAGAAGTGATCCCATCCCATCTGAGGTGCCTCACTGACGAAAGCCTCCACCCATCTCAGCCAGAAGTTGGGGACACTGTCATCTTTCTCCTCGACCTGCGACAGCATCTTTTATTGGCCCAGACCTCAAGAGTACACAAAAGAACTGTCATATTTATTATCCCATGGCTTTACATCCTGAATCCTCAGTTTACCCCCCTGGACAAAGGGCACACTGACAGGTGGAGAGATGGGGCTAGCATGCCATAGTCAGCAAGGGCAAACTGGGACCCCCGTTCCCTTCTCTGTTCTGCTGTGAGCAGCGAGGGGCTGACCCCAGGAAGGGAAAGAGAAGATAATCCAGTAGATTATCGGTTATAAGGAAGAAGGTTGAGCCAGGAGGCCGGATTCTACAGATGGAATTTGGTAATCTACTAGTAATGCCTACCATGGCCTAGAATAAGAGACACACTTTTGGTACTTCTACATTCTTAGGGTGAAACCCTCACTGATCTCAAGGAGGAAAGGCTTCATAAGGAGTTGTGGTCTCCAGACTACCTCAGGGGATCAGACTGCCCCTCCAAATCAGTCCCTCAAAGCGATGTTCAACACCTCACGAGAACTAACTAGTGGAGGAAAAATTTCCAAGAGCTTTGAGGTGACAAATCAGGGCCATAGATCTCTAAGAGCCAAATGCTTATAAATCTGACTAATTAATTAGTCAGCCCTGACGAGCTCCCCACCATAATTCAGCATCTGCAATTAGATTTCATATTAAAGCATGCAAATTTAAGATTAAAGCCCCGAGAGATGGTGTGACAGGTCCACCCCCTCCAGCCTCTGCCATCCCGCACCACCAGCTCCTCTGGGGGCAAGTTCTAGACTCTTCCCTTCTGCCA